CGCAACATAAATACAAGTAGATTACTTTTTAGTTTTGGGGTAGGGTCGAGAAATACCGTACACGTAAGCACATATGCCATTATCCGTTGCATTTCGAGATAAAATTGCATTCTATGTATGTACATATTTTCAATGCATATATATATCATGTACTAGACTTGTTTGGTTTCCAGGCAGGTTCTGCAATTCACTTCCGAGTGAATTCCAATAAAATGCGCTTTGAATTCAAATTGGCAGGGGTTAAAATTCACTCGGAAGTGATTTGCAGAACCTGCCTGGTCATCTAAGAATACTAAAATATTTACACCCATTTGCTGTGAAAGAAATTCCAATCTCGAAATTCCCCAACTTGTTTGTAAATATTAACAATATGGTAACGCTGCTACATGAACAAATTATGAAGCTTCAAAAATCTCAGTATCCGTCAAAAAGTTATTTATTGAAACTAGCTTCTCTTTTTATCATGGTTGCGTGTTAGGTGTCCATAATATTTTTCTGATCATTTGAGACAACATGTTGTGCTAATGTATCAAGCCGTTCAGATCACTGATTTTTTTAGCAACGTTTGCGCTCAATTGCTGCACATTCTGAACCTATCCAATGTCTGACGCTGTCTTGAGACGTATGTTCATACAAATATGTATGTACATATCTACTAAACATAACAAAAAGAAAATTTAAAAAATTTGTTGGTGAATTCTGGTCGCTTAAAATCGAAGTGATTTTGTCAAAGAGGAAGTGGAGAACTTTTCGCCATAAAAATGAAATGAAAAACTTCGATCATAGTGAAAACGGCAACAGTGATAGTGAGTATTCAAGGTGAACATCGACTAGTATTAGTGCGCGTTAGCGGAAGCAGCGCATGATACAAAAATTTGAAGGTAAAATAGCTGAGAGGCAGCCTGAACATTTTTGAAGTTTGCTAACATAACAAAAATACTTTCAAATTTTCAATCTCACAAATATATTCTCACTCCCAGTCACAAATAAAAGAAAATTTGAACATTTTCACCTATTTGTTTTTTGTTTTACTTTTATTTGGCATTTGAGTTGCTCACAAAATTTCAGTTTAATAAAGTAGACAAATTTCAAAAAATAAATGATCGTCGACCAATTGGGTGAGCAGTTTTACCTTTAAATATTTGTTCAAGACCAGGGCTTACTCCTGTAAGAACAACAATGGCGACCTGGCTACCGATGTTCAGAACGTACTAAAATTATGGAGGAAACACTTTTCCACCCTACTGAATGATAGCAGCACGGAAAGTTGTGGAGAAGAAGAACCCGAGCCTCCAGTCGACGTTCCACCGCCTGACTATGACGAGGTACGAATAGCAATAACGCGGCTGAAAAACAACAAAGCTGCTGGAGCTGACAGCCTGCAAGCTGAGCTATTCAAGTACGGTGGCGAGGAGTTGATAAGATGCATGTATCAACTCTTATGCATAATATGGTCAGATGAATGCATGCCCGACGACTGGAATTTAAGTGTGCTCTGCCCAACTTCCAAACATAGGTTACAAGGTCTTATCGAGCGTATTGTGTGAAAGACTGCAGCCCACCGTCAATGAACTGATTGGACCTTATCAGTGTGGCTTTAGACCTGGCAAATCCACCATAGACCAGGTATTCACAATATGCCAAATCTTGGAAAAGACCCGCGAGAAAAGGATCGACACTCACCACCTATTTGTCGACTTTAAAGCCGCTTTTGGCAGCACTAAAAGAGTTGCCTATACGCCGCTATGTCTGAATTTGGCATCCCTTCAAAACTCATACGGCTATGTAAAATGACGTTGAGCCATACCACCAGCTCCGTCAGAATTGGGAAAGACCTCTCCGAGCCGTTCGCCACCAACTGGGGGTTTCAGACAGGGCGGCTCCCTTTCATGTGGCTTTTTAATCTGATGTTGGAGAAGATAATAAGAGCTGCAGAGCTGAACCGCCCAGTTACAATTTACTACAAGAGCGTGCAATTGCTGGCTTATACCGTTGACATCGATATCATCGGTAACAAAAACCGCGAAGTCTGTTCTGCCTTTTCCAATTTGGATAGGAAAGCAAAGCGAATGGGTCTGGTGGTAAACGAGGACAAGACGAAGTATATACTGTCATCAAACAAACAGTCAGCACATTCGCGCCTTGGCACCCACGTCACTGTTGACAGTTACAATTTCGAGAAAGTAGAGAGTTTCGTGTGCTTGGAAACCAGCATTAACACCGATCACTCTTGCCAACAAGTGCTACTATGGACTGAGTAGGCAATTCAGGAGTAAAGTCCTCTCTCGACGTACGAAAACCACGCTCTATAAGTCACTTATCATTCCCGTGCTGGTATATGGCGCAGAAGCATGGACAATGACAACATCCGACGAGGCAGCTCTTGGAGCGTTCGAGAGAAAGATTTTGATCGCGTTGGCGACGGCGGGTACCGCAGACGATGGAAAGATGAGTTGTATGAGCTTTACAACGACATGGACATAATGCAGCGAATTAAAATACAGCGGCTCCTCTGGCTTGGCCATGTCGTTCGAATGGACACCGACGCTCCAGTTCTGAAAGTACTCAACTCGGAAGCCGCTGGTGGTAGCAGAGGAAGAGCGATGGAAAGACCAGGTGGATAAGGACATGGCTTCACTTGGCATTTCCAATTGGCGTCAGTTGGCACAGAAGAGAAACGACTGGCGTACTTTGTTGAACTTGGCCAAAATCGCTTAGGCGGTTACAGCGCCAATAAGAAGAAGAAGAATTAGTATCATGGAACCAGCCTAAATCTAGGAATGTTCGATATTTAAGAAAGTATCGATATCATGAATCAATAAAATCTATTTCATGTAAAATCGATAACATATATATATTAAATTTGAAATTCGCCTTGAATTTGTTCTTATTTGATTTGTGAACTTGGCTTTCAACTTTTCCACATTCTGTTTTATCTTTAATTTTTTGCGTGCTAATATTGAAAATTTTACAAAAGAAAATAAAATAAATGTTGTCCTCGAGTTGACACGCATCAGCTTTGGATTGATTATTGCGAATGCGAATATTCACAACAACACTGGTATGTATGTACATACATATCGACGGCGGAGTGGAAGATTGATCTATATCGGCAGCCGGTTCGTAAACGCCCTATATCAGAAAATTTTTCAAGAACGTCCTATTTCAAAAATTGATTGAAAAATACCCTTTTTAATAATTTTGTTGGAGTACGCGATATCTCAGAATTTTGTTCCAAAATGCCCTATCTCAACTGAAAATAAATTGAAAATATGTGGATATAGGGCGTTTTTGAAGCGGCAGCTGAGAAAGGGCGTACCTTAATCGAATTCTGAAATAGGGGTATTTCAATCAAATTCTGAATTAGGGCGTTCTTGAATAATTTTCTGAGATATGGCGTTTTCGAACCGGTTGATCTTCTATTAAGCCGTCGATATGCAAGATATATCAAAAGTACGGTTGCCAGACGTACTGATTTTATCAGTCCAGTACTGATTTTTCAACTCTCGTACTGATTTTATTAATTTCCTTAATCAGTACGCTAATGCCCTGATTCGTCAAAATTTGTGCTGATTTGTACTGAATTTTCAATTCTAAGCGTAAAAAATTATAAAAGGGGTCCTTCCGGCGAATTTGGTACTCGGTAACTTTGTGTTCGGTAATTTTTCGCCATGTATTTTGTTTGTGTAATTATTTTACACAAACAAAACACGTTAGGATTATTTTAAGGTTTTTACATAACGTTGGAATTTCCTTTAACTGTAAAAAGTAAGAAGAAAATAAGTTATTTATAGTAGACGTGTTTTTTAGAGTGTTGTTAGTTATTCCGAAAATAACGTTCAGTTTAATAACGGCAAATTTGAGTAATTGAATGGCTTTTTCCTACAACTTACAATTCTTTTTTCTCTATTTACTGACATTGTAAAAGAGTTTTGCATAAAAGATATCTCAATGTGGTACATACTCTTTTAAAGAATTCTTAGCCTTTCATAGTTTTTGCGCAGTTGAAAAAAGTAATTTAAGTCAGTAGGAAGTTTGGATGCAGTCTCTAAAGAGTGGTACGTTATTACAGTTTGAAGATACGTAATTTTGTTTTTTTCAATACCACACTCAAACGAAGCAGAAGAGAGGATCTTAAGTATAAAGTTTGCTTCTTGGTGCAAACAGAGAAACCCACTTCTAATTAAAATTGTGGCGTGCGCCTTGATGTTGTCACACAAAGCGGAGGGACCTACAGTTTTACGCAGACTCCGAACGGCGATTGTATTTTTATGAGATGCTTGTTTTTCATGGCAGAAAAACACTCGGAGGTTTGCCAATGCCTGCCGAGAGACGACCGCTGTTAAGAAAAAACCTTTTTTCTATATTTTTTTGCGATGTTGCTTTGAGCAGGGTTTGAACCCAGGTGCTGCGGAGTGGGAGCGCGCACTGCTTACCACTACACCACAGCGGCCGACAGTCATCTCATTATTGCTATTCAAAAATGCCATAAACATTAAATCAATATGCGAAATACAAAAAAAAAATAATAAATTTAAATTGGAAAATATAAAAACTGTCTTCTTAGTTAATTTGTTTGCTTCTCGAAGCAAACGATAAGTATCGTAAGTACGTATCGACCAAGGCATATTGAACAAGTAGTATCAGTAGAGCAGCTGATTGTTTTTTTTCAAATTATTTGGTCTTTGAAATGTCAAATCTTTTTAATTTCTTTTTACAAAAATTTTAAATTGTCAAAATCTATTTGCATGTGATGCCTTTTTGAAAAACAAAACAAGCGATTGAATAACAGCTTTTGGTACGTTCGCCCAACTCAACGCTGATCACTGGGCCTTGCAACGGATGGATCAATGCTTCGAGAAGCAAACAAATTAAATAAGAAAGACAGTTGCAAAAATTTTTATATTTTCCAATTTAAATTTCTTATTTACGTATCGATATGTATTACACTGAAAAACGGTATGTGCTTTCGAAAGATAAATATGTAATTGTCTTTTCAGGATTCTCTGGATTTTTTGTATGCGTTGAATGTCCCTTTTATAAAAATTGGTTCAGGAGATGCCAACAACGTGCTACTCTTAAGGAAAGCAGCTAAAATGGAAATGCCACTGGTTGTTTCAACAGGAATGCAAACGACTAAAACGATTGACAATATTGTTAATATAATGCAGAGAAATAACAAGACTAACTATGCTTTAATGCATTGCGTTTCCTCGTATCCTACAGATCCAGAGGATAGCTCTCTTAACATAATACGACTTTTAAAACAGCAGTACCCAAACGTGGTCATAGGATATTCCGGTCACGAGGAGGGCATCGACATTAGCAAAGCAGCCGTGCTAGTAGGGGCGAGAATTATTGAACGTCATTTTACATTGGATAAAAAACAAAAAGGCTCAGACCACAAATGTTCATTAGAACCCCACGAATTTGGAAGTCTTGTTAAGCATATTAAAAATCTTGAAAAACTTGGCACATTGAATAACGAACAAATTTTTGAAATTCTTGGCCAGAAGAATGTTATTGAATTGGCATTAAAGGAAGTAAAACACAGAATAGTACTTCCAAGTGAGCTGCCGTGTAAAATTAAATTAGGCAAGTCAATTGTTACTGCCAAGTATTTAAAAGCAGGCGATTCATTAAAGCGAAGTGATTTATGCATTAAAGTGAGTGAGCCTAACGGTATTCCTGCAGACCATTTTGACTCAGTCATAGGCCGAATTCTTAAATGCGATATAGATGAAGACTCACCTATTCTATTTAGTCATCTTATTGCTTAGAGTTATTAATAACTAGCTTATACCCGCGGGTTCCACCCCGCGCTTTTATACAAATATGAAAAATAATTTAATGATGTTAGATTTTATTTCTGTGCCCATTTCATTATAGCTCGTTATTTTTTAAGCGACTTAAGGTATTTAGGCCGTTTAAAACTATGAAATTACTAGTTTATACCCGCGGGTTTCACCCCGCGCTTTTATACAAATATGAAAAATAATTTAATGATGTTAGATTGTATTTCTGTGCCCATTTCATTATAGCTCGTTATTTTTTAATCGAGTTAAGGTATTTAGGCCGTTTAAAACTATGAAGTTATAAAATATCGTCTGCGCGCTAGGCATACGAAAGATATCAATCCCTCTAAGTTTACCTTAAAATGGTTCCAGGTATACGACGCGTGAACGTGTAACCTTCTTGGAGGTGGCACGGCGGGTTCTAATATTTCCAACTCAAATTTAGTAACCTGGCCTTGATAAAATACCACTTCTCATTACTGTAGCAAATGCCTCAAGAGAGCTTTAGATTATAAGGCCGAACCCGGCTCTCCCTTTTCCATTTAATGAAATTAATTCTGTCAGTACGGCACTTATAAAATAAATCTCCATAACAAATTTAAAATACTTCGGGAGATTTTCTATCCTTCCAGACATATGTATTAAGAAGTTTTTAGTATGTGTGAAATAACTCACATTTTTTCCATGAGCAATTGATACATTTTGCGTACACAACTCCATACCAAGTTCCAGTATTCTTCCACAAACACTTCTTCTTCCATGAATTTAGAATTGATTTTACATACCCCAGTACCAAATCCCAGTACGCTACCTTGAACACCTTTAGAGATAAGCAGTATAAAGCAGTAAATTTGTACAGGAGGAACCATGTCCCCTTTTCGAATAACGCAAATTTTTCTCCATGAGTATGGAATTAATTTTGTATACACATCTCGGTGCCAAGTTCCCGCGCTCTGCAATAAACACCTCCAAAGATATGTAGCATAAAAAAATTCAATTTGCATGGGAGTTGCCACATAACCTATTCCAATAACTATCATTTTTCTCCATGAGTATGGTATTAGTTTCACATACATAAATACATATGTATTTCCATATTAAGCTTGAGTGCTTTACCCCAAACATTTGAAGAGATATGTAATATGAAACTTTCAGTCAGTATGGGACGTGCTACGCCTCTTTTCCAAAAACGTCCATTTTTCTCCGTCAATATGAACATGATTTCGCACAGTGTTGGCAAACTGTTAATCTGATTAACGACTAAAAATTAACGATTAAAATGTTAACCGCGTTTGACGATTTAAATTAATTTGTCGTAATCAACTGTACGATTAATGATAACATTTTTTTAATCGTTCATCGCTGACTGCGATAATGTTTAATTAATTTAAAGCATTAATCGTTAATCCAATTAAAAATAAAATCTGATTAATTTGTCTAGTTTGTCCGAGTTTGAAACCAAACACCAGTTACAGTAATTATTTGGGTTCTACGCTTATAAAAAGCATAATATAAAAAAATTATAGTTATTGTTATTAGTAATACACAAACTGGAAACTTTTACAAACCTAGTTTGTAAAACATTTGTTGGTATATGTGACACTGGTGACACTGGCGACGCTGGTGACACTGGCGACACTGGTGACACTGGTACACTGGTACACTGGTGACACTGGCGACATTGGCAACACTGGTACACTGGTGACACTGGCGACATTGGCGACACTGGTGACACTGGCGACACTGGTGACACTGGCGACACTGGTGACACTGGCGACACTGGTAACACTGGCGACACTGGTACACTGGTGACACTGGTACACTGGTGACACTGGCAACATTGGCGACACTGGTGACACTGGCGACACTGGTGACACTGGTGACACTGGCGACACTGGTGACACTGGCGACACTGGTGACACTGGTGAAACTGGTACACTGGTGACACTGGTACACTGGTGACACTGGCGACATTGGCAACACTGGTACACTGGTGACACTGGCGACATTGGCGACACTGGTGACACTGGCGACACTGGTGACACTGGCGACACTGGCGACACTGGTGACACTGGCGACACTGGTGACACCGAGAAGTGGACCAGGGACCGATCTATTCCAAAAAATCGCATTTATGGTCCGATTTGCTTAAAATTCGGTACGTAAGTAGTTTTTTAGCATATATTGCCCATTTTTTCCGAGAAGTGGACCAGGGACTGATCTATTCGAAAAAATCGTATTTACGGTCCGCTTTGCTTACAATTCGGTACGTAGGTAGCTTTTTAGCATATATGATCCATTTTGTCCGAGAAGTGGACAAGGGACCGATCTGTTCGAAGAAATCGTATTTATGGTCCGATTTGCTTAAAATTCGGCACATTGGTAGTTTTTTGCCTGGATAAGCTTATAGATTCTTGTTTTCCAAGTTTCATGCAATTTCGAATATAAATAGCTTTAAGTAACGACCATATCAAGGGGCGAATTCGTCACTAGGCAAGATTTTTTTGCGCCTATCAGAAACAACGGATACTGTCAAAATATAATTATAATATTATAATATATCTCAACTAATTTATATTTAGAAAGCCGTTTGTTAGTTTTCGCAAGGCTCGAGAGCGGCTGAACCGATTTTTTTGAAACTGCCACCTGCCGCACGTGTCCCAAGGTTGGTTTTAGGCTGAAAAAAATCTATATGTAAAGGGGGCGTGGCACTTCCCATACAAACCGTATTTCTCATGCTACATATCTCTGAAAGTGTGCATGGTAGAGTTTTGGAAATTGGTATGGAGATATACGAAATCAATCGCATACCCTTGGAGAAAAGTTTTAGCTATTGTAAAAAGGGGCGTGACATCTCCCATACAAACCGAATTTTTCATACTGCTTATCTCTGGAAATTTTTTGGAAGAGTTCTAGAGTTTTGTATGGAGATGTACGAAATAAATCGCATACTGTTGGAGAAAAATTGGAGCTATTGGAAAAGGGGGCGTGGCATCTTCCATACAAACCGAATTTTTCATACTGCCTATCTTTGGAAGTGTTCATGGTAGAGTTCTGGAACTTAGTATGGAGATATACGAAATCAATCGCATACTCATGAAGAAAGAGGGCAGCTGTTGGAAAGGGGGGCGTGGCTCCTCCCATATAAATCGAATTTTTATACTGCATATCTCTGAAAGTATTCATGGTACAGTACTGGAACTTCGTATGGAGATATGTATATAGTCGAAATCAAGCCCATACTCATGGAGAAAATTTGGGATATTTGAAAAGGGGTGTGAGGCATACAAATCTACCGACCTTTAGCTATCTTTGAATGAATTTTTTTATTAATCTGTAGGTGTGTTTGTGAGTGAAATCCTCCTAAATGGTTGTACGGATTTTAACGAAACTTTTTGTGTATTTGAGTGGGTCTCTGGATGGTTTAGTTTCACAATTTAATCCGACAGTTGGCACTGTAGTTGAGTTATTACTAAAAAATCTTATTTATGATCCGATGTGGCTAATGTTTTAAATATGTATGCAATACTATTGCAAAAACGTGCTGCCAAGTGGTGCTGAAGTCGAGCTATTACTAAAAATAGCCAAGTGAGAAAAGGGGCCGTGAAGATCAGATTAAATCGACCTGTTGCACCATTGAGTATATCGACGATCCTGCGTTGCAATTGGCCCAATGGATGTGATTTTCCAATATTATTATTCGTTCAAAATTTTAAGGTATTTCGTCTGAAATAAGTATATGTATATTGCATTTCTGTAGAACAATTATTAGCACCCATTTTGAAATTGCCACCTACTATACTGTAAAGTTTCTAGGACATTCACTATAGAACCGGGTCATTGTTGCCGCCAGGGAGTGAAGAGGAAAAAATTTATTTCGCTTTGCGAATAACCGTGCTATGAAATGCCGCACAACTGGAGAATTTCAATAACGGATATAACACTTTCCTTAGGTTATTTAAAGCGGCAAATGACCACCAAACCTTAATCTTAGCAGACAAATGTGCCAATGAAAATCGTAAACGTGAATTGTTGGTGAAAATGTTGGACCAAAAAGTTTCAATAAAATATATACAAATTTTGGGCGGGACGAAGTTCGCCGGGTCTGCTAGTAACATTATAATAACAAACATGCCAAAAGTACCAAACACTGACTTAAAAGAAGTAGTAATCAAAATAGCTGCGCAAGTGAAGGCAAACATAACAAAAGACAACATAATAGATGTGTATCAAAACGAGAACAAGAAATTCAAAACGTATCCAATTATTGTAAAAATTAATAATCAAGAACTAATAACCAAATGCATCGATTTTCGAAAAAGAAACGAAACTATTGCTACTAATAAAATAGCTCTAAACCTGAATATCAACATGCGTGGAAAAAACAGCAATGTTTATCAGCTCATGAAAAAAGAGTTTAGCAGCCTTTTTAAGAAGTTCAAACAAGAAGCAAAAGCAAAAGGCTAGGTGCTGGCGCGAAATGATAATAACAGCGCTACCATACTAGTCGATGAAATGTAAGATAAAAAAAAAAAATTAAGAAAATTTCTATTACTAGTATATAAGGTATATAAATGCCGATGAAATGTAGATCCAAAGTATCAGAAATAAATTAAATAACCTGGAAATCCTAATTAAAGAATACAGTAAAAACAAGATAATTCATGTAATAGCAGTAAGTGAAATATGGATGCACGCGAATGAAAATCCTTATTTTAATTTAAAAGAATACAATGCCTATTTTTCCAATCGCAGTGTAAATAGAGCTGACGGCTGCCTAATCTATGTCCATAAACGTATTCCTTCAACATTGGTATCATCAACCGAGTTTGAAGCAAGCAACTTTTTAGTAGTTAATTTAATAAAAATAGATATCAATTTGCATGTATCTATAGATTTTGCGCTTCTGATGTGGGAAATTTCGTAAATTATTTGGAAAAAGAAATTCTAAACATAAAAAACTCAATCATACTAGGGGACTCCAATATTAATATTAGCCGTGTTTTATTTGTCCAGAAATTTAAGCTACTAGCTTATTTTGTATGGAGGACTTACCCAACATAATTATATT